ACCAGGCTCAGCCCCTGGCCCAGGTACTGGCCCACGTCCTCGGCCGCTCGGAAGGCTTCCCCGACGGACAGCTGCTCCCTGCGCTGCTCCTTGTGCTGGCGGGAATTCAGGGGGAAGGACAGGGGACACGCTCAGCCCACAGAGCCCCGTGGGAATTTGCTAAGGAAGCGGAGCACGGTGAAGCCTTTGTCTCAACAAGCTCACGGGTAGAAAACTGTCCGTAAGGAAACACCCCAAACACAGTGGAACCTTCATTTGTCCCACGTGCATCAAACCCTCGACTATGGACTTGGTGACGCCCAGGAGGCAGACCGGGTTCCGATCCTGCTTCTCCACTGGCAGGCAGGTGGCGGGACCAGCGTCTCATCCTCACCGGGACCCATTTCCTCGCCTGTAAAGCGGGGATTACAGCGTCCCCCTCGCAGAGTGGTTGTGAGGATTCAATGAGTTGCTTAACACACACAAACTGAATCCGGGGGACAAACAGGCATTTGCTGGGCCCAAGGCCAGGAGGGATGTTAAAGGCAGGGGAAGGGGGGTGCCCAAGGCCGGGAGGGTCGTGGCAGGATGGGGGGAGGTACCCAAGGTCAGGAGGGATGTGGCAGGCAGGGGGGAGGTGCCCAAGGCCAGGAGTGACAGGCAGGCAGTGGGGAAGTATCTTGTTCGAGGTGAAGCACTCAGACAGCAGGGACTTGAGAATGTGCGAGCTGGGGTGTGTGAAGGGATGAGGGCAGGGCAGAGAGGGTGTGCCCAGGAATGAGGGCGCATTGTGCCAGCGGTTACCTTCATCCTAGGACAGTGGGGAACGGTGAAGGGTTTTATGAACTCACTAGAGACCCGGTGCATGAATTTGTGCACCAGTGGGGTCCCTCAGCCTGGTCTGCAGGATCGGGCCAAAACCGGCTCTCCAACATTCCCCAAGTGGTCCCAGATTGTGAGAAGGCATAGGCCAGGCAGAGGGACTCCACCGGTGCACGATCTGGGCTGGGGAGGGACATGGAAGGTTGGCCAGCTGAGGAGGGACCGTGGGAAGGCTCCAGGGCGTGTCCGGCCCATCTCGCTCAGTCCCAATCAGCCAGATCCCAGCAGCAGGCTAACCTTCCAGTTGGAGTGTCTGCCCCCTGGTGGTCAGTGCACATCACAGCAACTGGTCAACCAGTTGACTGCCCTTAATGGTCAGTGCACGTCATAGAGACTGGTCAACTGTCTGCCCCATGGTGGTCAGTGCATGTCATAGCGAGCGGTTGAGCCACCTTAGCATATCATTAGCATATTATGCTCTGATTGGCTGAACAGCCAACCAGACGACCGGACACTTAGCATATTAGGCTTTTATTACGTAGGATGCTTGGTAAAGCCTTCCCCTGTAGAAAGAGTAACTCCTGTCTGTGCTACTGGAGCGCACCGTGCAATTACATGTTTTTCGGCGGGTGTTCAGAATGGTTACACGAAGAATAAGTGGCAGAATTCCTTACGTACCTTTTGCAGCATCTCTCGTCTTCTCTTAACTATTAATTTTTGGTGGAGCTTTTTCTTTTCCTGCTTTAGGTCGTTGTCCAACTTCTGTTTAATGGAGAAGACTTCCGTCTGAGCCCGTTCCATCAGCTCCTCCGTCTGCTCTTCATCCAGGTACCCTGCTCTAGACGAAGGAGACACGGGGTTAACGCCACCTCCACATTCTTACTTTGGTTTGAATAAGAGTCTTTACCCTGAAGGAGCAGGAGATGGGTAGGGAGACAGGAAGGGCAAGGTCGGCGTCACTGCGGACCACGGTGGAACTCAACACCAGGAGAGATCGCCCGGGAGGCAGAAACTGGGCCAGACCCCCAGGAAGAACATAACAGTCAGTCTGCCTATGTAAGGCAGGATCTCCAAGGAGATGGTGGGCTAGGAAGTCCTGGTGACAAGCAGGGCACCAGCGAAGTCTAAGAGGTAAGCGTAGGGAGTACTCGGTGAGGGTAATTCTATGAGCCACCACGGTGCTGGTTATACATGGATTCTGGGGGTGTCTGTGAGGCTGTTTCCGGATGAGATTACTCCCCACGCGCAGTTGTGTGAGCTCCACCACCCATTTCCCAGTGAAATGTCGGGATTTGCTTTAAAATAACCCGGGTGGAGCTGTAGAGCCCCATTGGCCATGAGTTGGCACCTGATGAGGTTGTGATGAGCATTTGGGTTGTCTGAACTATCTCGCATGTTTTCTTGTGTTTTTGTTCATCCTCGCCTGAGGTTATTTTTTCCACTGATTTTTAGAGAGAGTGGAAGGAGGAAGGGGGGGAGAGAGAAAGAGTGAGAGAGACATCGGTGTGAGGGAGACACACTGATTGGTTGCCTCCTGCATGAGTCCCATGGGGGGCCAGAGATCAAACCAGCAACCTAGGTACATGCCCTGCATCAGGAATCGAACCCGAGACCCGTCAGTGCACAGGCCGACGCTCTAACCACTTAGCAACACCGGCCCGGGCTATCATGCATGTTTTTAAATTCTACAATGAACCGGCGTCTTACAACCAGAGAATTTTCTTAAGACATAAGCAAGGAGCGGACAGTGCTTTCGGCGAATGAACAGAAGCAGCGGCCTGGGGCGAGGAACGCGGGGCAAGGCGGCTCGTCTGCATCGCTGGGACACTCTGGGGTTTACCTCTCGTGTTTCTGGATGAGGAGGGTCAGCTGGGCAGCGGCGGCGCTCAGCAGGCCCTGCGCACGGGTCTCCGCCGACTGCATGTTCTGCACCAGGTACTCCCTGTGGCCGAATCTCTTGCTCAGGTGGTACCTCTTACTGGCCTGGAAAAAGTCCATCAACTCTTCCACTTCCTCCTGCTCGAAAAGGAAATCAAGAGCATCTGCCTGATTAAAATGTAGAGGAAATGCTTTCTAGACACTTAAAATATTCCATTTCCTGTTAAAGAGAATATACAGGAGCAGGGCCCTGAGATAAACTGTAACCCTCTCTGCCCTTAACCAAGGCTTAGAAGGAAACGAAACACGACTAAGAAACGAGGACTTTGAAAAGTGCCCTGGACCCCACCTGATGTGACGAGTCATCAAACATCCTGGCCGCCCTGAACTTGACTCCACCTGCGATTCACCTTCCCCACGCACACTGCGCACCTGAGGCGCTCCCAAAGCTGCACCAGGACAGGTGTGCAGCGCCGGAGCGGTCAGCCACCGGCCCGACCCCGAGGCCCCACACTCACGGCGATGAGATGAGCTCAGTAAAAAGCGCAGCAAGAACTCTTCCTCAGTCCACGAAATGAACAAACCCCAGCAAACACAAAGGCATGTCATAACCTCGCTTATGCTGGTGTCCTTCCTGGGCCCAGGGCATTTCTCACCGTATCTACCTTCACCTCGGGAGAGAACACTATAATTCCCATTTCACAGATGAGGAGACTGGGGCCCCCTGGCATAGCTGGCAAATGGCTGAGCAGGGATGTGAACTCAGCAGTGTAACTCCGGGGCCTGTGCTCTGACTTCAGGGCGGGGCTGCCCCCAAATGCAGCGTTAGCCCCTGGCATAGTCATCGGATCACCGGGAACTAAGCCCTTAGCCTCAGTGGCGTCAGTGCACTGATCAGCTCGGCTGGCTTTTCCATCTGGGGAAACGTGGTCCATGCAACGGGCACCGAAAACATCAATGCTGTGTTCAACAAGATACACCTGGTGCCATGGACAGTCCCCTTTCCACACAAAAGCTGTAACGTCGCCAGTTCCCACCACCTGAGAATTCGCACTGTCCCGACAGCGGGAGCTGAATGGTCGTCCCACATGGCCCCGTACCAGCATCTCCCCGAGAGGTCCTGGCCGCAGAATCCATAGTCCTGTTCCCCACGGAACTGGACCCACGTGAGCTGTTGATGGGGCCACCAGGTAAGGAAACTCATTGTTACTCTAGCAGCTCCGGTCAAAGTCGTCTACGCCGTGGCACCTGATCACCACGGTGGTTACTTCTTTGACCCCAGTGTGACTGACAGTAACCTGCGTCCTTCCTAACGCGACTGTCCCAGCCCTAACTCAGCCCCGGCTCCATGAGCAGGAAAAGGACCGCAAGACCTGTCACCATCCAGGTGATGCCATGTGTCTGAACACGTAACGAGGAGGGGGATGGAATTCCTCCTTTCTCCCTCTCACTGACCATCTGGTGAGACAACTTAGAGCAAATGGAGAGGCTGGTTGTTCTCCTCCAGTCCCAGTGCCTTCTGGGAGCGGCCTTGTCTTCCCACAGGCTCAGGATGGTCACCGGTCTCCTCCCAGCGCTGTCCCGCGCTGTCGCAGCCTCACGCACTGGGCCTCGCCAGGACCAGAGCCTGGTGTGCGACTGCACACGGTGACTGCACTGTGCGTGTGGGTGCGTGTGCGTGTGTACATGTGCTTATCAAGTACCTCCTGCCGGCCTCATGAGCAATCCCACAGCATGTCCAGTCTCAGATAAACTACCTTCACGCGCGTCTGGAAATGTATTCGGTCTGCACCAATGACATTCACACTCAAGCTGATGTGCAAAAGAGGCAGATTCTCCCAGGCACATCTGGACACAGGTCGCAAACCCCACACGCACCG